GAAGTAAGTTATAAGTGTCTCCTCATTTACAGGCTTTCTTAATAGTTATCGAAATTATGGCAGTAAAGTTCATGCCATATTTTGAGGGGGAGAAAAATATAAAGATCAATTAAGAAAGATACTCTTCATTAAGAGTGAGATAAAGATTAATTAAGATGAATGTGACCGTCAGAGGAGTACAACGGTTACAACAATGATACCCATAAGCAGAGAAATAGCTAAATTCCTAGACTTTTTTAAAGTTTCGACAGAAAAATAGCGTAGTCAGTCTCAAAGATGTTAAGGTGGTGCTTAAAGCGCCATATGAGATTTTAACGTATTAAACCCAAAATAAGATATTTGAAGATACACTATCTTTAGAAAAGATAGGAAGATCTAGGGGAGCATGGTATGTAGAGGTATGTAGAGACCTAAGACTTGAAGAGAAGCAGGACTGCATGCCCACTTCAGTGATTCAAACAACGAATTTCTTAATACATGTTGATGTTGTATGACTTACACAACACCTGTTGTTGGCTCTTCGTAGAAAATGAATAATGTAAACAAGGATCTTGTGATACAGGAGCCTGTAGAACCAATTGCCTCTTGACAATAAAGGGCAACAACAGCCTCATATGAAAGTGCCAGTAGCTGAGGCCCCAGAAGGTCTCAAAGAATTAGTAAACCAGTTTTTCTGATGACTATGAAGTCTATGTTAGTAAAGAAATTCAAATAAAGGGTGATCCCACCTCACTTAAAGAAGCCATGAGAAGTGTTTACTTGTTTAAATGGCAAGAAGTTATGAAAGATGAAATGAATTCGATGAGTACCAACGATGTTTGGGACTTAGAAGTAATTCCTAATTGGGCGAAAACAGTAGGCAATTAATGGGTCTATAAGACAAAATGTGACTCCAAATGGAATGTAGAAAGGTATAAAGCATGCCTTGTGGCAATATGCTTTAAGCAAAAAGAATGAAAAGATTACAATTAGAGTTTTCTCTCTAGTCTTATGTTAGGATTCTTTTAGAATCGTAATGGTGTTTAATGGCACATTACGATTTAGAGTTACATCAGATGGATGTAAAGACGACATTCCTCAATGGGGATTTATATGAAAACGATTATATGGCATAACCCAAAAGGTTTTGTCATGGAAGAAAAGAACATATGGGATGCCGCCTGTGGAAATCCATTTGTGGGTTAAAAGTAAGTCTCCAGACATATTTAAAGTTGATGAAGCAATGAGAAAGTTTAGGTTTTAAGAAAAATGAGAAGGACAATAGCGCTTATGTGAAGTTCAAGAATGGAAAATTCTTTTTCCATATCATGAGAATAGATAATATTCTACTCACTAGTAATGATGTTAATCTGTCATTGGAGAAGAAGAAGTTTTTGTCCTCAAGTTTCAATGTGAATAATCTTGGTGAAGCGTCATTGGTTCTAAGAATCGAAATTCACCAAGATAGAAGAAAATGGGGTATTAGGACTATCACAAAGGCATACTTAGAAAAAATTCTAGAGAAATAAAGTATGCATGCGAGTAAACCTACGCCCGCTCCTATAGTCAAGGGTAATAGATTTGGGAACTTTAAGTGTTTCAGAAACCGATATGAGATCGATCAAAAGAATATGGTTCCATATGCTTCAGCTGTTGGAAGCTTGATGTGTGTACAAGTAAAAGTAAGAACTTACCCTGACGTAGTTTATATATCAGGGATATTTTGTCAGAAGTCCAGTTCAGATATAGATCACTGGAATTGAGTTAAGAACATCTTGCATTTTTACAAAGTATTATAGACCTCATGCTGAGTAAGAAAGAATAAGAACTCTTAAATAGTTGAGGGTACAAAAGTTAAGTTTTGGCGAGATGTGTAGTAAAATCCACAGCAGCTGCTAACACTCGCAGTTGGAGTGTTATCGTGGAAAAGCTCCAAAGAAACAGTTGTGGTGTCATCAGTGATGCATACTATAGAATAGCATGACATGAGGCTTAAGGAACAGGCAAAATTAGGTTAAGTGAATTTGTACCTGGATTTAACAATGGTAGTCAACAGCAATAACCATTTAAAGTAAGTTAACTCCTAAGACAACACGTCAAGTGTGTTGTCAAACACATTGACACTAAGGTATATGTTGTAAAGGAGAAAATCCAGAATCATTTTGAAAGCATTGAGTACATAAGTACCGAGTAAGTACTTACGGATCCGTTTACCAAAGGCTAACCACCTAGTGCGTTCAGAGAACACACAGTCGACATGGGTTTATGAGAAAGCCTATGATTTTTGGATACTAAGGGCCTAGTTGAGTATCTGTTTCAAAACAGAGAGATACGTTGTAGCTGTTTAATCTAATGGCAACATACCGTGACGATGAGGCACGCTCTATGCACTGATCTGTGATGGAATGGGAATAAGATAAAGTAAGTAAGTTGAGTTTAAGAAATAAGGTGAGATCAGGGGGAGAATGTTAGTTTGATTTCCACCAATTGACCCAATGGCTAATTGGGCCCTTGGATCAGCGCCCTAATCGGGGGCGTCCAATCGCTCCATGGTTGGTGGGCCTCCGTCGCACAGCACCATAAAGGGAGGTGGGGCCGGGGCTCTATCTACGAGGTTCACCTGAGCTGCCAGAGGCCCCACCTCTATCCGAACGCTAACCGATCAAGAGAGACGGTGCTGCCAGCGATGGGAAGCCGCCACCGACTTCGTCATCACCTCTGCAGTGCCACCACCGGGACGCCTTCGACCGCCGTCATTGCACCGTGCCTGCACCTACGACGGCCTACCGCGCGCGTCACAGCCACCACTACTCCAACACGACGCGGCCACCGTGGCTCCGGCCATGGGCGAACTAGCTACCAAGGTACACCAACGAGCTGTTCATACCCGCTATGTCTACACTTAGAGGTTAAGAAAAACTATCACCACACACACTGAACAAAGAATATAAATTATCTTTTAAACACTCCCCTCATATTGCCATTCATGAATTAAAAAGGAGATTATGACAAAATCAAAATGACAAAATCAAATTTTCATCAACTACTGCTAGTAATTCCCTGTACTCTTCCCGCGTAGTTGCCAAACACACCATTAGCTCTACAGTGGACAGGTGGATTCAATGATATCTGAGTGTTATTGATGCGCAGAACGGTAGCTCTTTTACATCAGTGTTCAGTGGTTTGAAAATGCGAGGATGCTTGTGGGAAAATTATTAACGTGGCTGAGATACAAAGTTCAGTTCTATATTATCTTTTGGAATTTGAGAAACCGAATACAGTAAACAATCATGTGGCTAAGGATTTAAAAAGCTCATGGAAGACACCCCCTGATGATATATATACAGAATAAACGTTGATGGCGCATCTCACTCAGATTCTAGAACAGGAGGATGGGGTTTTGTTATAAGGAATACAAAGGGAGAGGTGCTTGCACCTGGAGCCGGGAATATCTCATTGCAGCATCAGCTATTCTTTTTTTTTTTACAACGCGTAATAGCCTGTATTTCATTAAGAAGAAGTTCGGAACGTTACAAGCCCCGGAAGCAAACGGTGAGATACCGTGAACTCCTGGAGCAACACACAAACGAAAAAACAGATAAAGCGCACGAGGTTGTAGATTACATAGGCTAATGGCGCGACCAGTAGGCGACTACCAAGCTAATAAGCTGGGCTAGCGACGAAAAGAGCCGACAGAGCTGCAAACCCTGCACCAATCCAAGCGTTGGCCTCGTCCACGAGGAACTGACATATATCTGATGGGGTAGCCGGAGTGCACCGTCGAACACCCTAACGGTTCCGCTCTTTCCACAGCGACCATGCGGACGCGGTTAGCATGACCATGGAGTCGAAGCACTTACGGAGGCCAGTTGGTGCTTGCGAACGGTGTAGCTGCCACCACTCCAGCAGAGAATCTTGAGGTTGCGGTGCCCAGGTCTGCAGTCGTACTGAGTTGAGCAGTCGATGCCACACTTCCCGGCTGTAGACGCAAGCTAGCAGTAGGTAATCAGTTATTTCGTCTTCTTGATCGCACAACGCGCACACGGCATTCTGCTGTAGACCATGACGGCGTCGACGATGCGGTTACAAGCAATTGCCGCTTACAAGGGCCTTCAACATGCAGCACAGCTGGGTATGGCGAAAATCATCTTGGAGACGAACGCAACTGTCCTTGCGAAGGCACTGAACTCTGTGCTGATTGATCGAAGCGCCATAGGTTGTATTATTAGACAAATGAGAGACTTCATGCAATTGGAATTTTCTTCATGTACTGTCTCTGTGTGTAATGGGAACTGAAATAATGTAGCAGACTGTCTAGCAACTTATGGAGCGTGTGTCCTTGACTCTGGCTCTTCTATGTTGACGAGCCGAGTCCCTGAGTTTGTAATCTGTACTGGTATCCGGCGATTTGCCTGGACGAGAGTAATTTATCTGAGTTTTCAAAAAAAAAGTTCTGAGCATACTGGTATCTTCCTGGCTTGGACTTGGGCAAACACAACGCGGGAGACGATAGACAAACAGCACACCTCAGCTGAAGCCACGAATAATTCTTGGCTACCCATGCCTGACCTTTCTTAATTTCTCTGCTTGCCGTCTACGACGCAACGGGTTAAGCGAAGCAGGTGTGTGTGTGTGTCCAGAACTCCAGATACGTACGGCGGCTAGGCCAGTGCTGCGACTGAGAGACCGACACGAGCTCCACTGGCCAAGTTGTACACCCACCCACCACTAGTCTTCGGTCATTTCCAGCGTGCTCCACTGCCCATGCGCCGCCAATCTCCGACCGTATAGCAGATTTAACAAAATCAACAAAGACAGCACCGAATACGGAGTAGTTTTTTTGGGTGGAGTCACAGCACTGAATACTTGACCGTGTCCGTGCGCGTTCGGAGTTACCTGACCCGTGTGCCCCGCATAAGTACGAGCGAATCAGCGAAATGGCGAATAATTTAGGGGAGCATTACAACCATCAGCATACAGAGTTTTTGTTACGGCCGGCCCTGCCGCACGCACGGGCGTATATGTGTCCGTGGCGCCACCTCGCTCTGCTCCTCTTGCTCGCGTGCTTGTTCCGGAGGCCGTGCTCATCTGCCGCGGCGAGCGACACGCTCTCCGCTGGAGATTCTCTCTCCGGGAACCGGACGCTGGTGTCGGCGGGAGGCGAGTTTGAGCTGGGCTTCTTCTCCCCGGCCGGAAACTCCAGCCACTACGTCGGCATATGGTACAAGCGGATCCCGGGACGGACTGTCATCTGGGTGATGAACAGAGACTCCCCGGTCACCGACCCGTCGTCCGCGGAGCTAACCGTGGCTCAGGACGGCAGCCTACTCCTACTAACGACGAGAAACCGGTCGAAGGATGCGATTTGGTCATCCAACTCGACACGTCCGTGCGACGAAGGCACGGCCGTGGCGGTGCTCCTCGACACCGGGAACTTGGTCCTGCGTGGCCGGTGCCGGCGGGGCGGCAACTCGTCGGCGATCATTTGGCAGAGCTTCGACCACCCGACCGACACGCTGGTGCCAGGCGGCTGGGTGGGGCTGAACAAGAGCACCGGCGCGTACCAGGCGCTCCGGTCGTGGCGGAGCGCCACCGACCCGTCCACGGGGCTGTACACGGACCGGGTCGACCCGCGCGGATCGGCCCAGTACGTCTTCCTGTGGAACGACACGACCGTCTACCACCACATCGGCGCCTGGAACGGGCGGTACTTCGTCCCCATCCCCGAGATGGGCACGTCGCCGGCCAAGTACACGTTCGTCTTCGTCAACAGCAGCGAGGAGGTGAGCTACTCGTTCCGCGTCGTTGACCAGTCGACCGTCTCGAGGCTGGTGATGAGCCCTCACGGGCAGCTCACCATGTACGACTGGTCCGACGCGTCCGGGCAGTGGTTGCTGCACTGGGCGACCCCCACGTCGCAGTGCGACGTGTACTCCGTGTGCGGTCCGTTCGGCCTCTGCGACGTGTCCAGCTCGCAGTACTGCCAGTGCTTGCCGGGGTTCCAGCCCGTGGCGCAGGGGGACTGGGTCAACCAGCTCTGGAGCGCCGGCTGCGCGAGGAAGACGACCTTGAAGTGCAGCGGCAACGCGCCATCGACGGATGGGTTTCTCCCGCTGCAAAATGTCCAGCTGCCCGGCGGCTATTCCCCGGTGGCTAATGCGGGCAGCTCCGGAGGCTGTGCGTCGGCGTGCCTGAGAAACTGCTCTTGCACGGCTTTTGCTTACAGAGACGGCTGCTTGGTGTGGGACGGTGACCTTCGGAACGTTCAGCAGCTCTCCGTCGGCGATGCCGGGGGTTCTACTCTGTTCCTCAGAGCCGCCGCCGCCGACCTTGCTGCTGCAAACCAGAGACATGGTCGCTTTCCCATCCTTGGCGTGTCCTCTGCTATTGTTCTCGCGATAATCTGCCTGCTGGTCTTCGTTATTGCCAGGGTTCGACGCCGTGACGAGACCGTGCACCATGACGGCTCTCTCCTCGTGTTCAGCTATGGTTACCTCGCACAGTGCACGAAGAACTACTCCCAGAAGCTGGGGATGGGCAGCTTCGGCTCCGTGTACAGAGGGACGCTCCCTGACCACACCGCGGTAGCCGTGAAGCGGCTCGAGGGGTCGGCGCAGGGGGAGAAGCAGTTCCGCACGGAGGTCAGGACGCTGGGCACGATCCAGCACGTCAATCTCGTCCGCCTTCGAGGGTTCTGCGCCACGAGGCACGAGAGGCTCTTGGTCTACGACTACATGCCCAACGGTTCCCTGGCGTCCGTGCTGTCGGGTCACAGCTTCAGGCTGCTGGACTGGCGCGCCAGATTCGGGATCATGGCCGGCGTCGCGCGGGGGCTGGCCTACCTCCACGAGCAGTGCCAGGAGCGCATCGTGCACTGCGACGTGAAGCCGGAGAACATCCTCCTCGACGCCGGGTTCTGCCCCAAGGTGGCGGACTTCGGCATGGCGAAGCTGATCGTGCGCGACTTCAGCCAGGCGCTGACGACCGCGCGCGGCACGGTGGGGTACCTGGCGCCCGAGTGGATCCTGGGCCTGCCCATCACGGCCAAGGCCGACGTGTACAGCTACGGGATGATGCTCCTGGAGCTCATCTCCGGGCGGAGGAACCGTGACGCCGCGGCGCCCGGCGCCGGTGGCTGCTACTTCCCGCTCTGGGCCGCGACCAAGGTCCGCGAGGGGCAGTTCCTGGCGCTGCTGGACGAGCGGCTGGCGGTGGCGGGGCACGCGGACGTGGAGGAGGTCGGCCGCGCGTGCAACGTCGCGTGCTGGTGCATACAGCAGAGCGAGGCGCTCAGGCCGACCATGGGGCAGGTGGTGCAGGTCCTGGAGGGATCGCTCCGCGTGGGCACAGCGCCCGTGCCGAGGTTCCTCGAGCATTTGTATGCAGAGGATTCGTGTACATTCTGAACATATGCATGTTCAATTCACTCCTCGGCGATTTTGTTGTATGAAGAATGAAGATACGCAAAAATCACTAATTCCTGTTTGTTCTCTCTCGCTTTTGTGTGCCTGTTCTTTTTTAACTGTAGAAGTTTTCAACCCTCTCCCCCTGTTTTTACATTATATGTTGAAACACAAAATCACGATTTCTAGCGGCAGCCAGTGCAGCCGAGCACTCTCAAATATTTCTTGTTGTTTCCAGTGAGCAACTGGAACTGCTCACTTCCCTTTTTTGTATATTAAGATGTGTTTGGATTCTTTACCGGTTATTGTTTTGCCTGGTTGGGTAAGAAGCTAGAAAAGTTTGCTCTCCTGCTTGAGCAAAGTTAGGCTTGCCTAGCAAAGCAAAGCCAGACATTCAGGCAACAAGCATGCTCTTAGTTTTCAGCATATGCTATTCCAATAAGGCAACGATGTTGTGCAGATATGTTTAAACAATCCACACCTTTGCAGTTTTTATGCATATTTTTCTCTAAGTACTCATCACCCTACCATCGTCGAAGTTAATATAGAAACTGGCATTGACAGAGAAACATATCACTATCCACTGATACAATGATTGTTTTTTGTAAGAAAATTTGTCATACAATATTCTTTAACGTTGATATTTACTAATGGACACTACTTAATATTGTTTTGTTGTTAAAATAATAGTTTTTAGAAACGAAGGGGAGAGGAGTTAAAAGTGACAGTTATGCCCTTAGCAATGCTAGCCCAAACCTTAATAGTTGTCTCAAAAAAGTCATTACTTTTGCATATGAAAGTATATGAAGGCGAAATTTATATCAAAGTTATAGAGCTCAATGATATCTACAACTCTGTAGTTTATAATTTTATTTAAAATTATGTATAGTATCAAAAAAAATTAACTTCTTAGATCTTGAAATTTAAAATTTAAATTTTTTGAACAACGTCACATGTTGACATGGGCACATGGCCCATATAGAAGTTGTAGTTATCAATGAGATCTATAACTTTGTTATTGATAAATTTTTTATCTAAAACTATCTAGAGTCCTAAATATTCATTTAATTTACTCATATTTTGAGATTAAAAAATTAGAAGTTTCAAATGACTTATAGTAGATTTGAACAGTCTAGCTAATAGCCTACCTAATAAAAAAAATATAGTCCAACCGATTTTTTCATTTAGTAATTATTAATACAATATTTATTTTTTTTATGACCTTGTAGGAAGATTTCTAATGAAATATATCCAAATATACCTACCAGGAGTAGATGCCAACGCATTTTCTAAAAATTAGAGAAAATTGTCGAAAGTAATCTGGCGTGGAGGGGTTAAGTCTTCCCTGGTTTGCTTTCTCCTCTGTTATGTTCTTTTCATCAGTATATAATATCCCACCAGAAAGACTGTCCACTTCAACATTTTCCCCTCCGGTAGGTTTCATATGTTTATGGATAGCAGGTGTTAATTGTTAGCTACTACTCCATTCGTTCCAAATTATAAGACATTATAGCTTTTCGTAATACATTTTTTACTATGTATTTTATTTAGACATGCTTTAGCAGTAAATTGATGAAAGTAGTGTATATTTAAGTGCATAACAAAAACTATGTATTTAGAAAAGAAAATACGTCTCATAATTTCAAATGGAGGGAGTAAAAAATAGTCTTAGGTGATCCAAATAGAAGATCTAAAAGTTAGCCAAGATCTTAACTAGTTGTTAGTCTATTAAATTAACCAAACACAACTATAGCTAACAAGGGCTATAGGTTAACTACTCCCTGTGTCCAAAAAAAGAAAGAAAAACTCATTTTTTTAAGGAGTCCAATAATTCTAAATTTGCCAAAATCTATACAAAATTATGCATGCATACACTTTAGCAATGGATCTAAACATGGGCGGACTAATGGTTAGTTTGCTAAATCTTAGGGAGCTAATTTTTGACTTCGAATAGCCTTAGTCGCGTCTATGGCATGGCAGAAGATAGTATACTCCTCTGTTCGCTTGAACTACTTAAACACTACTTTTCAACGAATGAACAATTTTTCTCTCACAATAAATTAGTATAATCATCAGCATAAACTAAATTTCAGCTAAACGACTGCCCACTAACATAAGCTAATAAAATCTTTGCTCACTGCCAAACCCAAACAGGCCAAAAGTGCTCATCTGAAGCGCCGAGCCAATTTCCACCGCTTGCACGGATGTTCCCTAGAAATGTCTCTGTGTGTGCCTCGTCCTCTGTACGTCTGCGCCACGTGATTCTCCAGTCTTCTCAGCTGTTCGCTCTCCAACTCCCAAGCCCTTGTTTAGTTATCCAGAATCTAAATTTTAGCACTATGTAAAAAGAAGATTCTTCATCACATCAAACTTGCGGTACATGTATGGAGTACTAAATGTTGACAAAATCAAAAACTAATTGCACAGTTTAGTTGTACTTTATGAGACGAACGTTTTGAGCCTAATTAGTCAACGATTGGACAATTATTACCAAATACAAACGAAATGCTACATTGCGCTACAGTGCCGTAACAATGCCGGAGAATTCCGGCGGCGTCGATTCTGCAAGGAACTAAACGCGGCCAGGTTGCAGTGAGTCAGAATTCAGAAAATCCACGAGGCCAAGACAATGATAAAGACGCATGTCCAGGTCCAGCGATGGAGGAAACGGCGTTGTTACGGTAGCCGACTAGCCGCTCGTGAGTCCTTGTTAGGTCAAATGGTCAAGTACGATGGTCGCTATAGACCAAAACCGAAGGCAAAACGTCAAAGCAAGGAAAACAAACTGCTCCATGGATACATTCATGATCACGACTGAGACTGGCTGGTTGCTGCCGCATTTCCATCAGCCTAAGATCCCATAACATTTCACCGTGATCAACGGATTAGAAATGCAGCGACCTGAGTTGGTTTAGTCCAGCAGTGTGTGTGAGCTTAAAGTTTAGGCGGGTGAGAAGTCCACAGCAACCAGCAAATTGTGAGAAGGAAAAGGTACTTACAGCAACTGACATTTCCGGTTTTCCGAATTGGAACAAGTGATGGTATTTTGTTTCTACGAGATTGGAACACTATACCTATGGTCCATAAGATTTTGAGAGCTCATAACCCCTTCAAGCAAAAACCTTTAAGGGACCGTTTGGATCCCTTCATTTTTGAGGAATTGAAATCTACGTAATGGATTAGACTATTTAGCTTGGAATTTGACATATTTAGCTTGGAATTTGATATTCTATAACGTTCACAAGCTCACAAATAAGCCTATCTCAAATTCGTAGGGTGCGAGATGAAAATAGATTCTATAGATCACTATGTTATAATTCTATTCTTTAACTTATAGCACACTCTTCCAACTCACTTTCCTACAATATAAATGTAACATTTAAATATATCGCTAGTATGTCTAACAATAAACATACAAATATATTCCATATACAACTATATCAGCTTAATTAATCTATGTCTAAATTGTAATTATTAGAATGAATTCAATTCGAAGGGCCTAGATTTGCATTCCGCAAATTAATTTGTTTCGGTAACCGAATTCAAGCCTAGAAGCACTTCAACCAAAAAGGTATTTGAAATCCAGCGTAAATTTGTACAAGCTTATGCAGCATAACATGGGAATCAATAAACCAAGACCCTGGTATTTGTCTCTCTTGTAAATTCACCAGAAAACAAAAAACACAAAACTCACCATGCCATGTGCGAACTGAGATTTGTAGTCAGTAGCTCACACATTTTTTTTATACAAGTACCCGACCTGACATAGCGTACGTGTAGACGACACAGGTCACGCGACGACCTAGGTACAAACGCTCCGTTCGCATAAATCATATTTTTTCGAGCAACGAACAATATTTATCTAAAAAAACAAATCAGCCTACAGGGTTATCACTCGAGCGAACCGGGCAAAAGTCTGCATTTACAAATGCCTAAATTCCATGCACCATCATCGAGTCGTAAATTGCAGTAAAATTTTGACGGTTTGACCCCACCACTATAATGAAAGTGAGGAATCAACCACCCACACTATCCCGGCCTAACTTCTCCCTCCCAATCTCCCATGCCCAGCTCCACTACCACTACGGCCTACGGGCTGAAGTGAACCAGATTAGACAGACAAAGCCATGGCAGACAGCGCAGACCCACCAACTCCGAAACGAAACGAAACGAAACAATCACACACGAACCGGAGGATGAGGAAGATAGCAGCAAAAGCGACGGGATTCCGCTCGCTTCTTCCGCTCCCTACCTCACACCTTTGCCCACCACTTCCCTTAGCTCCTAAGCAATTGTTCATGTCGACCGATGAATGTATAACCATGGTCATACTGATAACTACTGATTTCAAGCAGCAATAATTCACAAAATCAGCAGCCTCCTCTAAAGTAAGAGCTCAAAATTTACCACCTAAAGCACATGAAGGAAACCAAACCCCACAGATTAGGGAAATTAGCATCGACGCACAGATCCACCCACATTAACCATCTCCACTGGATTACAGCTTCTACAGCGGCGGCGGCGGCTTGGTTCCTACACGCTTAGCCCGTCCACGCCACACTGCTTGTATTTCAGCGACTGGCTCCTCGGGCTGATGGCGATCGCGCAATCCACGGACACCTGCAGATTGGGGTTCGTTCACACATCACGTCAGTTTCGCCCGCGGAAGTGTTTTTTAGTAGAGTAGAGGCTAAAAACACTTGCGGCGGAAGCGAACGGAAGTTGTTGGTTCCCATTGCGGGTGGCTTGTCGATTCGTACCTGCACTTTTGGCGAGGAGAATCCGAGCACAAGGATCTTCGCACCGACGTCGCCGGTGATGCGGAGCTCGACGCGGTCGTTGATCGCGGCGTCGCGGACGAGATCCTGCGCGTCGGTCTGGAGCACGTTGAAGCGGTCGACAATGACGCGGGTCTGGAGCAGGCGGGTGCTGTGCGCGGGCTGCTCGAACCCGGGCACCGCAGCCACCCCGAGCGGCACCCCGTGGTACATGACGTCGAACGCCGTGGCGCCGTACCGGATGCCCACCTTGTTGGGGTTCTCGGCGGTGAAGAGCAGCGTGATGTTGAGGGATAGGTAGGCGGCGCCGGGGGCGGCGGGGGGCACGCCGGCCGGGGACGCCGCCGCGGGGGACGTGGGCGAGGCCACGAGGAGGTACTGCACGGACACTTGGTTGAGGTCGAACTGCGGCTTGCGGGGCTTCACCACGAGCACGACGACGAGCGCGACGGCCAGGGCGAGGAGCGCCAGGAAGGTGAGCAGCAGGAAGAGGCAGCAGCAGCAGCCGCGGAAGGAGGCGGACCCGCCGCCGTACCCGTAGTGCGGGCGGCGCTGCGGGTACCAGGACCCCGCGCCGCCGTGGCCGTGGCCGTCGCCGTTGGATCGGGTCGTCATGCCGCCCCGGGTGTCGATGGGAGGGTTGGGGAGGGATGGCTTTGGATTTTTGGAGCCTACTGGGGCATCTGCGAGGCGCGCGGTGGTGGAAGTGCGGGCGGAGGCCGAGGGGAAAGTTTGGCGAGGCCGCGAGGCGAAGTGGTAGTGCGGGGTTTGGGGGGCCAGATCTCGGAAGTGGGGGAAAATAGGCGGTGGGGGCGGTGGGCGTGCGTAGTGGGGGCGTGTACGTGTGCGCCGGTTTTCTTTCCTCCCGTTGTTCCTTCGAACGCCGTTTATTCCGCTTGGGAACTGGGATTTCAGGAGTCGAGATCTGTGTTTGCCTGTCTGGAGTAGGGAGAGGAATGACGTGCCGACGTTCTTCCTCTCGCCTTTTTCTGAGTTTATATCATGGAAATATGAATCTGATCTCAGGAAGGGAATAACGGGGTGTTTGGTTCTTCTTACTAAAATTTAGTCCATGTCATGTCGAATATTTAGACACATGCGTAAAGTATTAAACATAGACTAATTACAAAACTAATTGCACAGACTGAGCCTAATTTACGAGATGAATCTATTAAGCCTAATTAGACTCATATTTAGTCTTTCTAATTAGTATCAAGTACCCGATGTGACATATACTAAACTTTAGTCGCTGGATCAAACACCCCTTGAGATTACGATCTGGGCCTTGATAAAACACTTAGGGCATATTTGGATGCTGCCCTGGAGAGTAGCTGTCTGGACTGGACGCTGCCTGTGATGTGCTTGTACCTTATTTGGTTGCAACCCTGAACTTCGATCCTGTTGCCTGCCCTGGTGATTAGCACCATTCGGTCTTTCTTTTTCTTTCTTTTTTCTTTTCAAAATAACAAACAACGTTGTGACAACACAAATCAATTATCTGATTCAAATATGTACAATTCTCTATGAATAGTTATAGCAATATACAAGACTAATACGCAATATGTCTTAATTAGTGTTCCCAGGCATATGTCTCCAACCAAACACATATCCTTTAAAGTTACCTCACCAGACAAAAACTATCGAATTTTTAGGTAACTCTCAGGCACCACTTTTTACTAGGCAAGTTGTCCATACCTTCAACCAGACAAGCCCTTAAAGCGTCCAGCTTTTTCTGGTAGACATTACTTCGCGCTGTCGAGTTTTTCTGAACAAGGAATGCGGCATGACTTGCAAGTTCCAACACATCATTTGAAGCTTCCATGTCTGAACAAATTGGCTATACGCGATTCCATTTTAGAAGTCAACTCTTATTTGGATTTTCTCGGCTTCGAACCCCGTATGCCATAGTTGTGTGCTTGGTATATTTACCAAGACAAATTGCTTGACGTTTTTTTATACCTATATATATATGGATTCCTACGTAAAGTGATTCGGAAAGTTGATTGAAGATCATTCTGTAGATAGAATATTTTTTTTATTGCCTCAACCTTCGACTGTGGACATAATATTTACCTGTTTGATACTTTGATGATTGATTTTTTTTTCTTTTTTGCTGAAGCTTCGTCTTGGAAAACGGTCCACCCAAAGGCGTGCTCCTATGTGTCGGGTGGTCAAATTTTCTTTTTAGAGGAAAGTAGGATATTAATTCACTTTAGAAGTGTTTACATCAACAAGTACAGGAGGGGACTCAAGCCATATATATCTTCCACAACTAAGAGTACATGCAGATTTTGCAAGCATATGAGCCTCCCTATTAAAATTCCTACCTTCATGTGCAAACCGCACAAAACTAAAAGACTTTGATCTTTGATAGATATCTTGGAGAATCATCATATAAGAACATCGAGGCATCTCCCTGACATTTTTGACAACATTAAGACAATCTAAAGCGACAACAAAACTTCTGATTCCACAATCTTCAGCAAGCACAAGTGTCTCTGAACAAGCCATTGTTTCTAGCGTTTCAGGGTTAGTTGTGTGGGGTATCACAATAGCACTTGCAGCAATAAAACCTCCGTGATCATTACGACATACAACTGCCACTACACCTTTAGTTCCTGTTCGGTCAATAGCAGCATCTGTATTAATCTTGCTAAGACCATTTTGAGGAGCTATCCAGTTATGAGTTCTTGATTTTTCTTGATACAAGTCTTTCTCCTTGAAACCAATCCTCTGAACAAATTCAAATTATTCTATTAAGCGATTGATCATTATCATAATAGAGAAAGGACTTTTGAAGATTCCTTCATGAATAGCCTTTCTCCTAGCATACCAGATGGCCCAGCAAGTAACCAAGATACGAATACCATCAGCTTGTGGAATGTTGCAGCACATATATGAAACCAAATGTTTTGGGTCAGAGAAACGTAATGAAGCTAACAAATCCAACAGGTCTTCATCCATTAGGGTCCACACACATTTTGATATATTACATTGCAACAATGAATGAATCCATGTATCTTCTTTGTAGCAGACCTTCGGCCAGCTCATTGCCCACCAACTTTGGCAGCCCATTGGCCCACCAACGAAAGCGGCCCAATATCTTAGATGCAACGATTTTTCTTCATAAAAAAAAGCTAGAAAATTTTTCACTATGGCAAGGCTCACAGTCCCACCCATGCATACCTAGGTAACCAAGCGTCCCAGTAGTTTCAACATCCAAGCAAAGCTCCTCCGGGTCTTCTCCGATTTGGTCGTGGAACGATCAATCCACGACCGAAACGATGTCTTTGTCTACTTTAGCCCACCAACTAACATATGTTTTGGTTATTTGATTTGCATTAATTAAACTAGCTATCTTCTTCTGCAATTCATGTTCACGTGTACAATGGATAGAATACTTTATTGCATACTCACTGGCACAGACGACGTAGTCATGGAAAACAATTTTTTTTAAGGATGTGATCTAGCCCCTCGATATTACACTTAAAGCATCGATAAGAGTTTCAGTTTTATGACGTGTCCTGTCGAGTTTCCCTACACGCGATAAGTTGCAAGCTGTATTCACGTTTCCTTCGAAATTTCCAGGTTTGAACTCAATACCTACACACGATTCCTTCATCTAAAAACTCTATTTGGTGGAATCATAAAAACCTCTGGCCCCCTTTGGATCCTTAAAATTGAATTTATTTTAATAATCATAATTTAAACACAGATTGATTAAACTAGTATGGTCGTATATGGAATATATTTGTATATTATTGTGGGCCATGCGAGCAAGATACATATGTGTTGTATTTCTACCGTATGAGAGCGAGTTGAAGGGTGTGTTATAAGTTTCAAAGTAGAAACATAGCATGGAGATCTATAGAATCAATTTCCATTTTCCACCCTATAAATTTAAGAAGGTTTATATGTGAACTTTGAAAAGTTGTGGAATGACAAATTTAAAGCCAAATAGCCTAGATTATTAAGTAGATTTCAATTCCCCCAAATGATAGGATCCAAACGGCCCCTAAAAGTATATACTTAAGATTTTTTTTAACTTTTGAATACTATATATAGGCCCCGTTTGACTGAGTTCCCAAAGCTAATTCTCCGCTTAATCTAGCAGAAGCTCTGCCAAATAGTTTTTCAGAGAGAAATGGTTCTCTGTTGATTCCGTGAAGTAATTCTCTGAAATGAACTAGGAGGCTGAGAGCTGAAAAAGTAGCTTCTCCTGATTTTATGAAGTGATTCTCCATCATGATTTCAAGAGTTTATGCTAAAGAATCGAAGAGAATCACTTTCAGCCACAAAATCACTTCTCTTAGAGAATCAGTTTTCTTAAAGAATCAGAATCAGATGAAGCTCTACAAAACAGGCCCATACATCCATAGTCATCTATGGATATACATTGTAGCAAAATTTAAGACTCAAACTCAATCTAAAAAAAATCATATGAAAATGACAAATTTCAGCTAAAAAAGGCCCATTCCGAAGGCCCATTCTCCTTGCCTCCTTGGCACCTTCCCCGTTCCCCTCCTTCTCGCGATCCTTCTTACTGCCCGAGAGTTCTGACCAAACCAGCTACATCCAGCCGACCAAATCGCTGTGGAAAGGTATACTATGGAGGCGGCGGTCGAGAAGGAGACCGAGCAGGAGGAGCAGCAGCTACCGCACGCGCGGAAGGATGACGCGCCCGCCGCCGCCGAGGAAGACGAAGCGGATTCGGAGGAGACCGAGCGCCGCAACCGCGACCTCAAGGCCGGCCTCCACCCCCTTAGGGTAAGACCCCGCCACAGCTAGATCTGTCGCACGCCTCAACTAACTGGAGACTTTGCACCCCACATCACCGTTGTGCGTGGTAGATTGTTTGGTGAGATTGTACAAGTGGATTTGACTCGGTGAATTTTGGCTGCGTGTCTGCAGCGCAAGCTCGTGCTCTGGTACACGCGCCGGACGCCTGGTGCGAGGTCGCAGGCGTACGAGGACAACATCAAGAAGATCATCGATTTCAGCACAGTATGTCTCTCGGATGGTTGTATTTGTTGTGGGGGATTCCTAACTTCAGTTCAGCTGACTGCTGTTTCCGTTTTTTGAATACTTGAAGGTCGAATCGTTCTGGGTTTGCTATTGCCACCTTGCGCGCCCTTCTTCCCTGCCGAGCCCCACTGACCTTCATCTCTTCAAGGATGGCATCCGTCCCCTCTGGGAGGTATTATTCAGAACGTGGCATTCTCTGTCGTCTCTCTGTCTACGTGTTGTATGTCTGTCCCTGCTGCTAGTGGTTAATGGTTTTCAATTGGCCAGGATCCTGCAAATCAGAATGGTGGCAAGTGGATAATTAGATTCAAAAAGGCTGTTTCAGGTCGATTCTGGGAGGATTTGGTAAGTGAACTTGTACTGTCAATCTATGTGTTTTTATGAGATTGTTTACTGTGGTTGATCATATTTTGGTTAAACCCCAAACTCATCCATTACCTGAGCACCTACTCTACGATAATACATAGTTACATTGGCCTATTTTATACCATATGCAGAATGATCTCATCTTATTATAATCTCGTCCACCTTGGTAGCATTCTACCACCTTTTGTGATGAATCACTCTTTGATTGGCAAGCTATCATATGG